GGTCGCGGCCCCCCCAAACCCCTGAAACCCCCGCAGCCTCCCCAAGGGCGAGGTCGGCTACCCCGGCGGCATCTTCGACTTCCTGGGCTACTCCAAGGGCAACCTTGAGGAGCTCAAGCTCAAGGAGATCAAGAACGGCCGCCTGGCCATGATCGCCTTCCTGGGGTTCGCCGTGCAGGCGCAGACGACCGGCACCACCCCCCTGGCCAACCTGGCCGCGCACCTCGCGAACCCGTACACCACCACCGTGCTCACCAACGAGCACGCTCGCCTCCTGTAAGCGCCTCCTGCGCTGCGGTTTCAGGGGGGGAGGGGTGTGACTGCGCGTGGGCCCTTAACGGGCCGGCGAGAGGGCTGCAGGCTTGCGGGTGCGAAAGCGGCGTGTGCAGCGTCGAGCGCGTGAGCACTGTGTTTTCTGTTGGGTGGCTGGAGAGCGAGAGGTTTTCCTGATGACACACGAAAGGCTTTGATGCACATATGATAGTGTGTGTACATGTAAAACGCAGGCTTTCACCGCTCAGGTCTTCAAATATGGGGGACATGCAGACATGGGTTTGACATAGTCGGTACCATGAGGGTTTTCGCAGCATGCAAGCACATAATAGTTGGACACACGAGGTGGTCAACAGCTGCATCGCTGTGCTGTGGTGATGTGAGAACGCTAGCTCTGGTGTGCTTGAGCGCCGCAGCGCACAACCGTATGGTACTGCTGGGTCTGCAAACCCCGCGCCAGTGCAGCCCCCCTCTATAAACACGGTCATCACAACCTGACAACGTCTGAATTAGCTCGCTACTGCGAGCTTTCGTCGCGAACTCGATCTGTTGCCGAAGCGCGGTGACGTGGTGTGTCGACAACATCTCACAAAACTCATGGAAGCGAACGAAATCCTACTCTCATGCATCTACCAACACAACTAGTCACAATCGCAATTATCCCTTGACAACAGACGCACGCCCGTCGCCGCGACGTTTCGCTTTGCGTGCCCACCTCGCTCCCTTCCACGCTGCCATGGGACTCCTCGGCTGGACCCGCAGCGACATCCCTAACCTCAGCGGCAAGACCGCACTCATCACCGGCGCCAACAGCGGCATTGGGTTCGAGATCACCCGCCAGGCGAGCCGCGGTGACGCGCGCCTGCGCGGGAGCCTCGTCTGTCTGTCGCTTGGCGCGGCCGCGACTGCCGAGGAAAGCTCCGGTGTCGCACTGAACTCCCTCGTGCGGCCCCTCCACAATTCTCAAACCTCGGCCGCAGTTGGTCGAGCATGGCTGCGAAGGTGCGGGGCCTGAGCTGCTGCCCGCCTCTCCAAGGGTCTTTGTCCGGCGCCCCTCGCTTCGCCTGCACCGCCCAACCGACCGCCCCCCCCCCACCCTGCCAGCTGGCTGCCTTCGTTGGCACCTCGCTGTTGCCGGCCGCTGAACCCGTTTCATGCCCTCGCCCGGGGTCAACTGCTCCAATCCTGCGCGCCTGCGCCCCCACTGCCCCTCCCGGTGCGGCGAACCCTGCATCGTCCGTCATTGTGTTACGTCCAACCCCACAACACGCCCCACCCCGCCCTACCCCTACCTATACCCCCGCCCTTCACGCCGCAGTCATAATGGTGGGGCGCGATGACCAGCTCGTGAAGTGGGCCGCCAGGTGCGGGGAACATCCTGTCTATGGTGCCCAGAATGCCACGACCCCATGTATCTTTGCTGTTACTGATGCGCTGGGTCAAACCCACCGGATTCCAGACTGAGCAGCAGCGACGTGGGCCGCCTCGCTGTCTCGCTGGATGCCGGACGCACCTCTTTGCCTGCGGTCCGCGTGCACAGGGGCCGGCTTGGGCAGCTGTGAGCTGGCAAGCGTCGGGGCGTGCGTGCGTACGTGCGTTGGTGCTCATGCACATGCATGCGTTTTTCCGTGCGCGGGTGTGCGCTTGCATTGGGCGTACCTCATTCTGCGTGCCATCATTGTGACATCATGCAGGGACATTGAGGAGGAGTTTCCTGGGTGCCGCGTGCACCCCAAGGCCTGCAACCTGGAAGACCCAAAGCAGGCACGGCCCAGGCGTCAAGCGCGGCGCATGTTCGCTCAGCGAGATGGAGATGCGTGCGGCGGCTCCTGCGGGCAGCTCAGAGCTGCTGGGATGGGCTGCATGCAGGGAAAGAATGCATGCTGGCACACCCATTCTTTCCTAGCTGCAGTGCGGGGCCTGGCTGCGAAGCCCTTCTGTTGGGCCCTCCCGCCTGAACCAGGAAACCCTAACTCTACCTGAATCTGGCGACCCTGAATGATGCAACTCTGCCCAGTCGACACGGTTTGGGCGCGTGCTGCGTGAACCCCCACCCTCTGCTTTTTTTGCCCCCCTGTCCGCTCGCAGGTTGAGTCGCTGGCAGAGGACATTCTCAGCAGGAAGCTTCCCGTCAACATCCTGGTGCTCAACGCAGGTGAGAGGGCAGGCATTATGGACAAAGGCATTGTACGGGATTCTGGTATGGGTATCTGTTGGCAGGTAGGGGGACCGAGGACGTTAGTCGTCGCAGAGGTAGGAGGCGGGGGCACAAGGGCGCTTGCGTGGCAAGACAGGGAGTGCGTGCATTGGTGACGCATTGCATGTCAAGTCTGAAAATCTGAGGGAAGGCAGGGTGCAAGCTGTCTTCCCCGCATGACAGGGGCCTGCATTTCCAACCCGAGACAAAACTTTTGGCAGCAGTCGACGCTGGGGCAGCGCGCTGCTGGCTGACGGCTGCCCGCACGTCGTCCTGCCCCCCACCGCCGATCCACAGCTGCCGCCGCTCGCCCCGCTCCTTCGTAGCACACAGCTCAATGTTTTGTGCCCTTCCTGCGTACTGACAAGAAGGGATGATCGACCCCTGATGTTGACCAACCAAAACTGCCCGCAGGCCGCTACCTTGATGCCCCGTTTGCCACCACCAAGGACGGTTTCGAGCAGACGCTGGCCACCAACTACTTTGGTCACTGCGAGCTCGCACTGCTGTGAGGGTGCCGGCATCGCTGCTCACGCTTGCAGGCAGCAAGGCAGGCCGACGCGCCAGGCGGGACGACGGGGCGGCTGCTGGCGCCGGCGCCCTTGCGACAGCCTTTGCATTCGGGGCAGTCCAGCGCATTTGCCAGCTGGTGGGGCGTGCGGTCATTCACACTGTTCCCATGCACGTCCCAAGGCCACCAAGGCCAGTCACTAAATGAGGGACCCACTGTGCCTGTTCAACCGGGTCAGCAATCTGATCCACAGTCCTAAATGCAAACCAGTGCTGAAACCTCGAAAAACAAAGCCACAGCTGTTTTACTTTGCACTCTCCACCGGCACCCCGCCCATCCAGCCTATGTATCGTTTTTGAGACCTGCAACGACTCATCGCCCCCGCCACCAACCCCGACGGCAAAGGCTTCTGGACCACATCGCCGCCAGCGGCCCTGGTGGCCGCATCGTCACCCTGGCGTCACCCGCAGAGCAGTTCGGGCGGGTGGACCTGAGTGACATCAAGGTGGGCCAGCGGGTGACATGGGTGTGTGTAGGGGGTGCAAACGTGTGCTGCAAACACACAAGCAGGCACGCGTTGTTGTGGCGTGTGGTGCTTATAATTCGGCAAGCTGTGAGAACGGATGCGGGGCATGGATGGTCTGCTGTGTTGTGAGGCACTCGGCGGTCGTTCAAAAGGGCGGTTTGCAGGTTGGCGCAGGGCGGCAAAGGGCTGCGCAGGGCGCAGATCACGCCAAGGTCTCCCCAAACACATGGTGTGCATCTGCTCACCCCCCCCCCTCCGCCTGCCTTCCTCTGACTCCCCTCCCCCCCTTCGCTTCTGATGCGGCGCGCATCCCAGGGATCCAAGCTGGGCACTAGCGGCATGCCCGCCTACGGCCGTTCCAAGGTCAGTTCAAGTGGCGAGAGGAAAGGGGCACCCCTCAACCTTCCGCCCTGCTGGGGAGAGAGTGCATGCCTGTCCTGCGTGCGAGGGAAGGGCCGCGAATGGGTGGCTGCGGCTCCCCCAACTCCAAGCTTGTCAACACACCTGCATCCATGTGCAAACTCAACACTGTGTCCTCACCTCACCCAAAACACACAAGACCATCACCCCCTTCCCATCCAGGTGTCTCACGCCATTGCGCCCCACACACACCGTCCCCATCCCCATCACCATCACCATCTCCATCACCATCTCCATCACCATCACCATCACCATCACCATCACCATCACCATCACCATCACCATCACCATCACCATCACCATCTCCATCACCATCACCATCTCCATCCCCCCCACCCCCCACCTCCTACCCCCATGCACATGCACATGCACATGAATCCGGCATCAATTCATTAAACCCTGCAGGCCATGCAGATCATGTGGAGCCACGAGCTGCAGCGCCGCCTGAGGCTGGCTGGGAAGGACATCGACTGCTTCGCAGTGCACCCAGGTGGGCGACGCGCTCGCGCCGGTGGCGGCTCCAACGCCGGCAGTGGTGCGGGCCTCGGCGTCAGACGGCAGGCGTGTGGCGGGGACTGGGGTTTGGCGCGCGAAGTTTGGGCGGTGCTGATTTCTCGCCATGGCGCGCGTCGCGCCACAACCATTGCACGCTCCTCGCAGCGCCCCTACTCGGTCGGCCCGGGGGCCTTACCCGGTCGGTGCTCCCCCAAACCGGCACCCTCCACGCAAGTCCCACTGCCTCCGCTTCCCACCACCACAACCGCCACCACCATGCCGGCGTCCTGTCCCTCTGACAGGCATTGTGGCCACTGGGCTGCCCAACAAGGTCGACCTGTCCTACCCCGCCGGCCTGCTGACCTACGTCCAAATGATCCTAACGGGTCAGAGCCCCCTGCAGGTGCACGGGCGCGCGGCGACCTGCCTTGCGCTGCCTGCCTACCTGCACAGCAAAGCACGCTCACCACAAACAACAGGGCCTCCGCAGGTGCAGTGCTGCCTGCCATTGCTGCTTGGCAATGGCGAAAACGCTGTGCATTGGTGCGGCACCCTGCGAAGAGCGGAAAGCAAAGACGGAGCTGCGCGCACCGCGCCGCGCTCACGTGACGCGACAGGGTGCCCAGAGCGCGCTGTACGCGGCGACTGCGCCGCAGCTGCACGGCAAGGGCGGCATCTACATCGGGGCCCCAGGTGCGTGGACTGTTGCCCCCCCACCGCCGGCCCCAGCAGCCCGCCCCATCACATGCACCAACAGTGCTGCACCGACCTCGGACGCCCGGCCTTTGGACTGCGCAGGCGTGCCATCACCTGCCTCTGGTGTCTCAGCAGCCGGCCCCCCTTGCACTCCAAGCGGGACCACCCCGCCAAGCCGGCTGTGCACGCGCATGCGGCATGACCCCGCTGCTGATAAGCCACTCGATTGCCCTGTTACACCCTGCTGTGGCCGCCCATCCCCCCTTGAAACCCCCAATCCCGACTGAAATCATCCTTCCCCAATTCCACCGCACCGCTGCCTTGCACAACGGGGGCCAGAGCGCAGCGGGCGCCGGGCCAGCTCTGGCCCTTGCAATTCCCAACACCGTCCTGCCCCCTATCCCTGCAGTACTTGACCAACATGTTCCACTCAAGCGAGCGCTGGGCCCTAAACCCCGCCGTCTACGATTATGTGAGACGGCCTGAGGAAGGGTGGGGGTGCTTTGGCACCTGCGAATTGCCATAGTAGTGTTGCTTCTTTGCTGTATGTGATTGCGCCGTGCGGCGGGCGGCAGTCGGCTCGCCCCTCATGCATCACCCCTAAGCAAGGCAGTTGTCTCGCCTTGCAAAGCGTCGCATCACATGGCACCCCTCATATGAAGCCAAATTCAGTGTCACCACACATGGGGTTGCCCTCCCCTTGCCTGCCGGCCCTCACCTTGCAAACAATCTCGACGTCCACGTCCTCGGTATCCTTGTCACCCCTCCTGGCAAACCTCGGATCGCACGAAACCCCAAGGACGCGCGCATCAAGCTGTACGAGGAGACCCTCAGGGCCCTGCAGGAGGCCGTGGGCCACGCCCTGCCGTCCCTGCCTGCGCGGGGCCGCAGCCTTGCGGCGGCGCGCTGAGCGCGCCGGGCATGCCGCCGGGCACAGGCGCGGCCCGCTTTGCGCGAGCGGCGCCATGCAGCAGACGCGGGCCGGTGGTGGAGATTGGATGGCGACCTGCGTGGCAGGCCTGTGGAAACGTGCAGCTGGGCCAGCACTGCCAGCCGTCGCCACACACGGGCAGCTCGACACAGGCAATGGCGGCCGTGCTGCCTTGCTGCACAGTTGGGATCAACGAGCCTTGTTGATGGCCAGTGTGTGCCTGTTGCGGTGGCTCCCGCCTGTGCCTACAGATGCGGCAGCGCCCTGCCAATGGGCCGGCCCCGATTGCTTTGGAGCCCCTTACAGCCGTAGACTTGCCCTCATTGTTTGGCAGTGTGGCTTTTTGTGCTCATGGTTGTCATTACGTGTTGTGCTGAGATGGTGCGGAATGCAGCATGCATTGCATAAGGCAGGTGCACCCGATCTCCCCTGGGCAGCACCAAACCTTGCAGAGGCACCCTCCCATCAATGTGACCATCAATGTGAGCGTACACTCAGCATCCACGCCGTGGCTTGCGCACACATGCACATGCTCTGACGGAACCAACCCACCCATCCATGCACGCATCCTCTGGCGAGGGGTGCCTGGACGCGCAGCCTAGATCAGTGATGCCGTTTGACCATTGTAAACCTGCCTTTTCAAGGCGTGTATAGTAAGTTACCTTGAGTATTTGACTGTTTGACTGTGCTTGAGAGCACACGGCTGGGCATGCGTGCCAGCAAGCAGGCAAAGCACGAATGAGCTGAGGGTGGGAGGACCCCTGAAAAAGCAAGACAGGGAAGTATGCGGCCGGCGCGCGCTGTCCCTACATAGGCAAGGGCGAGCACAAGGCGCGTCTTGCAGCGCCGCAATGGCCGCGCGCAATGGCCGCGTAGACACTCTCTTCAAGGCAGGGAGGGGGTCGAGCGGCGCCCGTCACGCGGGCTGCTGCAGCTAATACTGGTGTGTGTGCATGTGTGTGTTGGGGGGGGGGGGCGAGGCAGCTCGCATCGCGGCGCAGCGAGGCAATGCTGAGCGCGAATGCAGCGACGGGGCTCTTGTTCGTACGTGAGTGTGCCGTGATAATCTCGCGACACGCCGCTCGAAGAAGTGGGGCACAGCTGGCCAATAAGCCGCCTCTAAAGTCAGGCTCTCTGTGGTGAAGCCTCACGGCTTGCACGCAAGGATGCGGGCCTGCCAGCAGGAGGCAGGGCGGCTGTTGCGCCTCGCTGGGTCTGGGCAGAAGGGCGCAGGCCCCTGCACATGCAGCAAGGGTTTGGCTGGGAAGGTTCAAGTGTTTGGAAGCGGGCGCGCTCTGTGATTGCAGCGCGCATGGAGGGCAGACGCTCGCGGATCAGAGCAGCAGGGGGATGAGCGTCGCAGTCGCACCCCGGCAAGTGAGAGGCGGGCGCGGCTGCCTGGCAGCGGCGCGGCCAGGCCCCTGGACGCTCAGGCGCCGAGGAAGGGCACTGGCGGCGCAGCCATACGGCGCTCCCGCAGTGCCTCCCAGTCAAAGCCGTCAAACCAGCCGTGCGCGCGCGCCTTGGCCACGCAGGGGCGGCCCGAGGGGTCGTGGCTCAGCAGGCGCGTCAGCAGGCAGCGCAACTCCTGCGCGGGCGAGGGGAGATGGGGAACGATGCACAGGATACGTCAGCCCTCAATAGCCACGCAAGGGAAGAATCAGGCTAGGCAGCGCCACACTCCCTGCCACCCCGAGTCAAGGGAGCGTCGGGGAGCGCGCTAGCTCTCTAGCGGCCCGTCGACAAGCAAGGTTCGCCCCCGTCCCAGCGGAGGCCGCCCCACCGCGAGCCGCGGTGCGCGTGCTGCGCGGCGAGGCGCCCCTCTTGTCGGCCGCCCGCAGCTCGGCGGACCACAAGGGCTCGCCAAAGGCTGCATTCCCAGCATGGGACCGCAGCGCCCGCACGCGCCTGTGAGAAGTGCTGCGGGAAGTCGAGCCCGCTGTGGCCGCCCTCGTCCTCCGCCCAGCCTGGCAGCCGCCCCGCAACCAGCTCCCAGAGCGTGACCCCAAGGCTCCAGAGGTCGGCCGCGCCACACTGTGGCAGCGCCGCCTTGACTGCGAGGGTTGACCGCCAGCGCGGGGGGCCCGAGGGTGGTGGGGTTGTGTGTTTGGCGGCCAGATTGCATGCGTTTTTTCCAGCCTGCACCTGCGGCCACTTGGCGTTTTGCGTCTGCAAAGAGTGCTTTAATCCAAGCGGGACGCACAGGAACGGCTGCGACCCACTCAAGCCCGCCAGCCAGCCGCCTGCTTGAGAACAAAAAGCTGCGCGCCACTCGGCTCTGCCGGCCTTTGCCCGCACCTTCGGGCGCCATGTACGCCGGCGTCCCGGTGCGCGTGGTGGGCGCGTGCCCCGTCGGGACGATGCAGCAGGCCCCCAGGTCAGAGAGCTTGAGGTATCCGCATGAGAACAGAAGCATGTTATCTGGCTTCACGTCGCGGTGCACCATGCGGCGGCCATGCATCCACTCCAGAGCCAGCAGCGCACAGGCCGCGTAGAAGCGGGCGGCGGGCTCGGCGATCCCGCCGCGCGGCAGCGGCGGCGGCGGCGGCGGCTGTGCGTCTGCGAGCGGCCGCGGGGCGGCGCAGCGCTGCGGGTGCCCGCTTGAGAGCGGCGGCGGACGCGCGTCGGGCTGCTGCACGGCGTTTTCCAAAATTGTGCCGTGGCGAACGGAGTCTGGTTGAGGGTCGTCGCTGCTGACCGCGATCTCAATGACCAGATCGCCAGAGTCCACCTGCTCGCTGCCGCCGTCCTCTCCCTCGCCGTCCTCTTGCTCGCCGTCCGAGCCCTCCTCACACTCCGGCTCGGGCTGCTGCTGCGTGCCGTGGTGCTGCGGTGTGTCGAGCAACAGCCGCTCGGCCAGGCTCCCATGCTCGGCAAACTCCAGGAGCAGCAGCATGTGCCCGCCCCTGCCGGCCTTTGCAGCGAGCAGCTGGACAACAAAGGGCGAGCCTGCGCAGTGGGCGTAGGCGGCCTTCTGCTTGGAGAACATGCAGGGCGGCGTCGGCTTGATGGGGCCGCGCGCGGCCTCGGCGGCGGACGACCAGCGGGAGAGGGCGCAGGGCGGCGCCGAGGCCGGCAGCGGGGGCGGGGGGAGCAGCAGCTTGCCGGCGCAGAGCTTGGGTGCGGCCGCGCCGACGGCGACGAGGTCGACGTACGCGTACGCGCCCTCGCCCAAGCGGCGCAGGACGAGGACGTCCTTCAGGGCCGTGCGCTGGATGGTGTGCTGCGGGTAGGTGCCGAGGGAGGAGGCGAGCGGTGCAGCAGCATCAAGCGACGGCTGTGCGGCACCAAAGCCAGCAAACGTACAAACAATCTGAGGCGTACCTGGTCAATGATAGTGGCCACCTCTGCCCCTGCCAGCCTGCAATCGCTGAGCATTTTTGGCTGCTCGATGATGCTTTCACGGGCTCCCTGCACGGGAGCCTCGCACAACACAGCCATTTTGCTGGCAGGTTTTGATGTTTGTACTTCGTAGGTGCGATGCTCCCGACTACATCGGCGTCGAAGGCTTTGAAAGGCGTGGTGCGATGCTGTTCCAGTCACGATAAGTGCTTCGTGGTTCAGTTATAGCATGCGGCAATGTTATCGCTGTCAAACCTGCAACATCTAGTGAGGACAAAGTGCAGGTAGCGTGATCACAGCCCGCCGGTTTTTGGCGGGTGGGTTTGCTGGCAACCGCGAGCAGCTCGCTTTGTCCTGCAAAGTGGCTCAGCAAAAGCTGCAAGTGCAGTTGAAACTTTAAATTGATGCAATCGTTGTGTTGCAGGTTGAAGAGTGCCTCCAGTATCTGTTCAACAACGCCAAGCCGCCAAGTGACTGCACCATTGTCACCCCTGAGCATTAGCGGCCCCACCAAATCCACCACCGGTGTCCAATACTTTATTTTGGTCTATTCATGTATTAAAGGGCAGAGTAAAGCCATTTATCACTTCGTGCTGGCGCGGCCGGGCATTCGTGCTCGCTCTTCACGCTCCGGCCGGAGACCTCATAAACCCAGCGCAGCACCTGTGTAAATATGGCAGCGGTGCCTTCACCGACCCTGCTGGACAGGCTGGTGCTGGCACCCATCAGTACGGTGGCGCCGCTTCAGAGCGGCACCCAATTCCACAACACTACGTCGCTGCAGCTGGCGGTGAAGCAGAACACGCTGGGCGTGGGCTACGCTGGCGCAGGGTGAGCGGCGGTGCTGCTCTTGCAAATATTTGCGCATGGTTGGGCCCAACACTGCGGGTGGCGCCAGCGGCCCCTTCTTCAAGGGCCTCAATCATGGGGGCCCAAAACATGAGGGAGCCATGTCTGCACCCCACAACCTTGGGAAGCCTGCCCTACACCTGGTACCACGACCAGCCACGTGCCTCATCTGGACTGCACTGGACTCGGCCGACTGGACTGGACTGGGACGGCCGGGATGCCAGCACCTCCCCAGCCAGCCAGAGCAGCTGCCACGAGCCCAATATTCATCTCCTTCAGAGTGTTTCTGGCGTAACTTCCCTTACACCGCCCCCGATGACAACAGGTTTCTGCTGTTCTACTACGTCGGGGTGTCTAAGGTGCTGCAGCAGCTAGGCGTCATAAAGCCAGGCCACACGAAGATCGCCGGCGCCAGCGCGGGTGCGAAAGCGCCCCACGCTGCGGAACCGGCAGCGTGCCCACCCACTGCACGCACCTCGCGCGCCGCATCGCGGACGTGGCTGCATCACCGTCAGTAATCCAGCAGTGTTTTTACCGGCCAGGCCTCTCCTTAGTGTCGCTGCTGGCGGCCAACTGCAAGAATCAAACGCAACACAAATTCAGCCCCGTCCTGGACATTCCAGTCAACCTGACCCCCACACACCGTGCGCGCGCCCGCCCTGACAGGCATCTTATCCGCCGCCGTTGACTATGGCTTCGTAAGTCATGACGAGTTCATCAAGCTGGGCAAGGACTTCGCCGCCCGCTGCCGCGCCAACTATAATTGCGCCGGCACCCTGGGGGACGAGGTCGTGCGCATGGCGGACAAGGTGATGCCGGCAGACGCCCACATCCGGCTCAGCAACATGTCGGTGGCGTACATGGCGCTCAGCACGCCGGCCGGGCGCGTGGGGATCCCCGAGGGCGACTACGTGACCAAATTCAAGAGCCGCCAGGGTGAGCCGTGCAGGGGGCCGGATGTGCCTCCATGTGGGTGTGCGGGGCTGCGGCGGCGGCCGGCTGGAAGCGGGCAGTGGTGATGACCTCAAGAGCCTAAGGACTGCTGCATCAAGGCGGCCACTGGCGCAGCTGTGGAATGCTACAGAGTTGGGCTGTTGATGTGAATTGTTTGGCGAGGATTGTGTGGAAAAGCTGGGGCCAGTGGTTGAGTGGAGCGCGCGCTGCTCTGATTGGCCGGCGACCACCGTGCTGATGTGATTGCACCGACCAATCCCCCTGCAGACCTAATGGACGCCGTTCACGCAGGCGTTTATGGTGAGTGTGGACCACAAACAGAGGTCGGCTCGGCCCCGCCGTGCGCGCCAGGGCCACTGCAGCGCCCCGCACAGCCGCGCAGCGAGCGCCCGAGCTGCCGTGCAGCGTGCCGCCTGCGTGAGTCAAACCTCTGGTCTGAGAGGTCAAACATCAGGGTGTGCATTTTGCTCCTACCAACCACAGTGCCGCTCTGGTCTGGCCCCGATGCCATGACAAAGTTCCGCAACGAGACCACATATGGTGAGCACGTCGCCCAAAACCTCAGCAGCCCTGAAGACACCCTGGTCGATCAGTTTGGAGTATTCTGTGCAGTGGTAGCGCCAACTGTGCTTATTGACTTCGGTGCGGCGTATTATGAAAGCTGTGGGATCTGGCCATCATGCGAACCCTGTGCTGCGCCTCTCAACCCCCACGCCCCCGCCGTTGCAGACGGGGCGTACCGCTCCCCGATGCCCTGCCCGACCGGCAACACGACGTACTGCATAAAAATGAGCGTGCTGCCCCCGTGGACGACCGCGGAGGTGCTGCGGGACGCCATGGACCCTAGGGTGTGGCCAGAGCTGCTGCAGGTGCTCAACGTGACCACAAAGGCCAACCCAGTGCGGTTTTTCCTGGAGGGCATCAGGAACCGTGTGATGCAGCCCGACCAGCACTTTGGCAAGCTGGCGGCGGCGGGGTACACGTACGTGACGCTGCAGGCGCGGCTGCACCAGCTGGCGGGCGGCGTGGACATCTGGCCGGGTGCGTGGGGTTCGGGGGGTCGAGGAAGCTTGATACAAAATTGTTGGGCAGCATCGTCAGAGATGTGGTCTGAGCAGCTAAGGGCATTCAACCTGTATGAGCCCAAACAACCCACCTGCAACAGACCCGGGTGTGGCGGTTGTGCGAAGCAGCACCCCCAATTGGCACTCTGCAAGTGTTTCCAGGCCCACGCGTATGGCCATGCACAGCAAATCTCTGCTGCCTTTGCACGCCCTTCACCTTTGCCCAGGCAAGTGGGCCAAAAACAAGTTTTCCATCGTGCGCTGGATGCTGATGGTGCTGGTGAGGAGTTGTTGCGTGATTGCGGCCCCCGTTGCGACGCTTGCCTTGCCATGTGGCACCGAGCCGCGCCCAAGAGACGTCCTGCATGCATGCACCCCGCTGCAGTGCAGCGTGCGGTGTGCTTGGCTGGGTGCTGCAGCTAACAACTCAGTGTCATTGCTGCACACCTGAAGATCCCCCTAATGCTGCATGCGTCACAGCACCCTCTCCGGGCCCCTATCCATCATTGTGTTGCAGACGCCCCCTACTCCTGACGTCATCGATGAGATTGTCCAGATGGGCATTGACGACGGCCACGCATGGGCGCGTGACATGGGTCTTGAGCCGCCGTTTGCCAAGGCAGCGCCAGCAAAGAAGATGGCTGCAAAAAGCGCCGCGTCAACGCCGGCGGCCTCGCCCGTGGCAGCACGCAAGCCCGCTGCAGCGGGGCCGGCGCCTGCGCCCCGCCGCATGCTCATTTGAACAGCTGCGGTGGGCTGCGGACGGGAGCAGCAGCACCCCGAGGCAAAGCCCTGGCCCGAGAGTTGGCGTCCTTGGCTGGCCGTGATTTTTGGGCTGGCCCACGTGGCGCTCATCAGCACCACAGCTGGCAGGACTTCCTTGACCTCACAGGCAGCTCGGCAGACAGCAAGGCCGCTGTCCACACCAGTCTCGCATCACAATATTTCAGGCTGCGTTGCGCTGGCAGCAGGCCGCAGCGCCGACATGCGCAGGGCTTTGCACATTTGTTCCTATCAGCCGCGATCTGTAGTTTGGCTGCGACCCCAGGCAATGCAGGGGGTCCAGCGTTTCGCCCCTCCCCGTCTTCCTCCCTGATGCAAGCGCGGCGACGCGTTTCTGCACACTGCGCCTGCATGGGCTGCCAGCCAGCAACGCGTGCTAGGGCAACCGACGGTCCCATGACCTGTTCATCAATGGCGGCCAGCCACGCGTGCTGGACGCTCGGGGGATATTACACAGGCGCTGAAACAGGTAGACCTGCGATGTCTGTGGGGCGGGTCAAGGTCGTCAAACAAACCACATTTACACCAAAGCTTCGTACCTGGACCGTATTCACCACCGGTTTTATACCGCCGCTTCCTTTCAGGAATTTTATACCAGCTTGCTCATCCACAGATCTGATTCTGTTTGCACTCGTGGGTTTGGCCAATTCCCACGCTGCAGGCGCCGCACACTGCTGACCCTTGTGTTTACATGCCCAGCTGCAAAGCTGGGGTTCAAGCGCTGAAGTGCGTTTGACCATTTCGACCAGATCCACGTGTGCCTCTCTGAGAACATCATTATCTTGACTGCTCCTCGTCTGTGTGTAAACGTTTTGATTTCTGAAACGTGTGAGCTTGTTCGCGAACACCCAAACTTTTACTCTCTGCGCACGTTCTGTCTTCGCTGCCTGCCAGCTCCCCCACCTGCACCGCTGCCGCACGCCGCCGCAATGACAGGCGCCGCGACCTCCTCCCAGTTGCCGCGCCACCGCCAGCCTGCGTGAGTCCGCGCCACCGCTGCCCGCATCTGCGTAAGCTCGCCTGCGCCCCCACCCGCGCCAAAGCCGCGCAGCAGCCGCTGCAGCTGCCCACTCAGCTGCTCCGGGCTGTCGAAGAGCAGTCCGGTGACGCCGTCCTCTATCAGCTCTCCGATGCATTCGTAGCGCACAGCGCAGACCGGCAGTCCGGCGCCGAACATGTCCACCACCTGATGGGGACGACACGCATGAGTCGAGGAGAGAGAGAGGTGGAGACGTGAGTGTGTTGGTGTGTGCTGTTATGGTACGCAGTCGCTGGTGAAGGCAGGCGCAATCAAAGCCCGCGCCCGCACTGCAAGGTAGTTTCCTGGGAAACAGCGGGCCGCTCCTGCAGCCAGCGACAGCCACCAATGTGGGTGTCTCTTCCACCCAGACCGAGCGCACACCGGTCTTTGCCAGCGCCTCCCACCTTCATCGGAAGATCCAGCCCCGACGACGACGTGTGCAGGCATACCCCCAGATCAGCACACCCCAGCAGCACCGGGTAGTCCCCCGGCTCCAGCCACACGCTCGCAAAGGCGCAGTGCCGCAGCTGCAGCCGAGATATTTTCCCGAGATACTCCTCCCGCTGGGGCCCCCGGCCCGTGATCACAAACAGCACGTCCGGGAAGCTGCCGGCTGCTGGCGATGGGGCGGCTGCGGAGGATGAGGAGGCGCCCACACCTGCTGCTGGTGCTGCTGCGGCTGCTGCTTTTGCTGCTTCTGCTGCTGCTGCTGCTGCTGCGTCGTAGGCAACGGCCGCGTCCAAAAGGATCCCAAAGTCCTCATCGGGGGTCCAGCTGGTGGAGCTCACCACGATGGCGGGCAGCCGCGCCGCGTCGCCCCCGGCGCCGCCGGCGCCGAGGCATGAAACCAGGTCGCCTGCCTCCTGCTGCGTGGCGCTGGCCGCGCCTTTGCTGCCGCCGCCGCCGCCGTCGACCGCGCCGCCGCCGACCGCGGCGGCGCGCAGCTGCGGCGCGAGCCGCGAGAGCGCCGCGCGCTTCTCGCCCGGCGACAGCGCTTTGAACATTTCGGGCGGCCGGTCGTACAGGACGGCCGCCTCGACGCCGAACTCGCGCCGCAGGAACGCGCGCATCGCCTTCGTCACGGTGAAGTGGGCCGCCGCGCAGCGGCCGAGCAGGCGCTCGTACGACCGCGCCAGCGCAACTAGCCAGCGGCGGCGGCCGTGCTTCAGGGCCAAGATGGAGTACGCGAGGTTGTGCCAGTCGATGACGAGCGCCGCGCGGTGGCGCAGCGCCGCGAGCCAGAGCACGGCCATGACGGGGATCGCCGGCGGGTTCTGCATGAGGATCGCCGCCGGCCGCGGCAGCGCGGCGAGCGCGGCCCACAGCATGAGCGCCGCCTGCAGCGCCGCCTTGGCGAGCAGCGACAGCAGCGTCGGCAGCGCCGCGACCCAGGACGGCGGGGCCGGCAGGTAGTGGAGGTGCACATTGGGCGCGTCCAGCAGCGGCTGGATCGGCGGGGAGCCGGGGGACGCGAGCACGCGCACGTCGTAACCGGCGTCGGCGAGCGACCAGGCGTGGTACTGCATACGCGGGCTGCGGCCGAAGTCGCCGAGCACGACGACCCACACAGTTGGGTTGGCCATTATCAAACTATCTATTCCATCATGCGCCCGTGAGGCCTGTGGTCATGTGCGGGTGCGACGGTGGTTTGATACCGGTACGGTGTGATCTAGGCTTGCGTGCAGTTGGAGATGTTGCGTCAAATGCAGGGTTGATGTGTGTCTGCACACGGGTGTGGAGGGATCGACCTTGAGAAGGCTTGGGGTGGCAGCACCATGCAGGGAGGGTATCATGGACTTCATGGCTGACTGCACAGCCAGCTCCCACCCCTCTCGGACAAAGCGGTATGATAGGATTTGTGTCTGGTGTGTATAGCCTGCTCAGCATATCACTCCCTCCCGTGACAGCAGTAGTATATGTATGCGGGTTCAGGGACAGTTTTCACACAAGGGACTCTTCCAGTTGAGCGTTTTCCATCACTTTGTGCACATTTCCCATCACTTTGTGCACAGCTTCAAGAAAAAACCAAGTCACCCCCTGATCGCTGTACCCCATGATTGACTGCCATAAGTGAGTTTGGTCGTGGTGCTGGTTGTCGTGCATGCCTGGCTGCCAGGCAGCTGCCACCAACACAGCAGGGGCCAGCAGCTGGCCCTGCATGCCTACCATGCACGCAGCCACCACATGCTCGCCCTACTACCAGCAGAAACGTTGCTGCCCCAGCTGAAAGCCAGCAGCCATGTCAAGGCCAGCTAACCATAAGCTCCACTGCAGCAGCACGCGCACGCAACATAGCTGGGTGTAACAAGGTCACCACGGTGGCCATCCGCCTGCACACAGAGCCAGCATAGACCAACACCGCCCCAACACACAAATATCCCCATGCTGAATATGGGCAGACTCACACCACCTGCAAGTCGTCAATCGCCATCGGTCGACCAAGCCCATGCACGCTTGACCGCCCAGCCATGAAGGAAATAACCTGTCGGTGCTGCCCGGAGCCGCGCACATCCCAATTCATGACTAAGCATTCGTGGGCAATTCATGGAGGGCGTAGCATGACATTTTAGGCAGCACGTCAGCTGTCCATCACCAGTGCTAAACCAGAGATGTGTAGCAACGAGCGAACATGACATTGAGAGAGCGCCCCGCGCCCGCGCCCCCGCGCGCCTTGCATGTATGTTGCAGAACACACGCAACAGTCAAACCTCAAGGTTACCCCCTTCTTAGGGGAAGTCGTGTCAACAGTCAACATGTTGAATGTCATGTCACCATGTGTGAAACTGACGTTGTGAGGTTTCTTGGGCTTCCGCGGCTCCCGGTGTTGCTGCTCTTGCTGTGATGGCTGCTGGTGCCCGGCTGTGTGGAACAGTAGGTACAGCTGCCTCAGCTGTCTTTCTCAGCGGATCCTCCTTGACCCGCTTACCTGCGTGGTCCAGGGCATGAGGATGCAAGCGTCGATGAAAGGCACTGGAGCAGCCGGAATGCCGAGGCGGGTCCGGCAGCACCGTGGCAAAAATGATCAGCAGAAGCAGTGTGGTGTTGCGCATGCATGCCACGTTTGTGCCCCTGCAACGAGGCACGCGCCTGCATCACACCACGGGCCATAAGTACCAAGCTGAGGTGCAGCGTACGTGCCAGTTGATCGCTCAAGGGCACACTGTTGAGCGGACGGCCGCCGACAGCCCGCCCCTCACCTTGCATCGCGCAGGTAGGGGCCCGGCAGGTGGCGACGAATGAGCAATATGGCCCGAAATACAATAGGCAGCATTGTAGGGCACACAACACACAGACAGCATTGTGTGGCAAGAAAAGGCACAGCTTGACGCGTACACGCAAGTCTGACAATGCCCACTTGAGATGTAAGAAAGTGGTTTGCAGCAGGCTCGCCACGACAGAACAGACATGTCAGATGCAGCCCATGCTAGGCAGGCCCTGAGAAGATGCATGGCATTTGGCAGAGACGGTAAGCAGCGCATTTGACGACTGTTGCATGCAGTGGTGCCACACGCACAAAGCACACCTTGCCGCCCCAGCTGTTTCTCCAGAGCCTCTATTCGCGCCTCCAGGTCTTTGGGTGAAAAACAACACATGTGCAGGGAGGATGGAGGACAGAGGGTAGTGAGCAAGGAGGGCAAGAGGCCAAGCAGGGAGAGAGGCGCAGGAGTATGGAAGCAATGTCAGCATGGGCCCTGCTCGCCTAATCCAGTCCGTTGCTGGGGTGCAAATACCACAAACACACTCACTCATGACTCTTCCAACTGCGCAGAAGGAATTCGTGCAAGCATGCACATCCGGATCCGTGCTCACAACCCTGCAGAGGCCTCGCCCACAGCAACCCTTCTCATGTGTGGCGCCACTCCGGAGGCCACCATATGGCAGACAGGGACGGACAACGTGATCGGATACCAAGCCAACATATTTCACACAATGCCACCCAGGGTGCAGCGAAGAACTGGGGGTGCAACAAACTTAGACCATCGAGCCCCTCCACGCAGCCCAGCAACGTCTGCTGTAGCACCATCCCGCAGGCCCGAGCCCCACCCAGTGATGCGGCAATTGTTTGTGTGTGCTTGCTGCAAACTGTGCTCAGAGCTACATGGCACGCGGCATGACATGGCCACGGAGTCGCTGCAGCACGCGCCCGCCTAGAGCACGCGCCCACGTCGACGTGAGAGCAGGTGGCCGCTCCCAGGCTCCGGCATATCGTGGCAGCAAAGGCAACGACCCCCAAACAGTGGCGGCCACATGCTGAGCGCAAGCCCCATGCAGTGACACTTGTTGCAAGATGTGCGATCGCCTCACCTGTTCCTGCTCCTGCTACGCCTGGAGGCAGAGATGGACGAGGTGGTGGACAGCCAAAAGCAGCACAGGAGCACGGCGAGGGAAGCCAGCAGGTCGTGAGTACAAGGTGCAAAGAGGGGGAGAGATGTGGTGAGAGATGAAGGGCAGGGCAGCAGTAGCAGTAAAGCAGCGATAGCTCGGGCAGGGAAGTTGGGATGGGTGGGGTATTGCACGTTTGGCCCCCCCCACCGGTGCTGCAGGGCTCTGTGCTGCTCAAATGGTTGTACAAAACAGGTGGATTTGTGCAGATGTCTCACGCATGGTTTTGCAATAGAGTTTGTTGTTGAGGCTCAGCATGTCATCATGCACCTGTGTCCGTGCCCTGCCTACGCGATGCACAACCCAGCCCCACCCAAATGTTATCGCATGGGCAGCAGCTTCTGCTGCGGCAGTGCTGACAGTTGCCACTGACCGAGTAGCCCCGCCTGCATGTTAATGGCATCCTCGCTGCTGTGATTGCTTGCTGTCACAACCCACTGGACGTGTTGCACAGCAAACGCACCTATCCTATAAAATCTGTACTGCCCTGCATCCAGCGTGTCATGAGTCGTCATTGTGAAGCCATCTTCCGCCATGAGTGTGCCAGGACCACGCTGTTCCAGCTCAAGCAGTACAGTTGATCCAGTCTGTGGGGCCTTGAAGCGCATCAGCTCGTTAGAGCTGTCGCCATCCAGGACGAGGATGGCTAATGGGTTGATGTTGCCGGAGGCCATCTGTTGAACCCTGTGGTAGGTAGCAGCCATGCAATTATGTAAGAGAGACGTATCTAAGTACTCCAGTAACACAGGCAGCCGTGCCAGTAGCACGCCAATGCCCCAGACCCAGCCTGCCCTCTTACCCGACAGCAATGCAGGGGCCTTCAGACTCCTCCAAAGACAAGCTGCAGCGCAACACAAGGCCAGGGTTGATCAATACTACCAGAATGAGAGCCTGCCTCCAAGTTTGAGGCGCGTTGTGCGTTGCTGTTGACTGCATTCATGCCGTCAGCAGGACTGTGAAGTCTTCGCAAGCAGCCAATGACTACAGTCCCATAAAGCATGGCGCTGCAGGGGCCTCAGCCTACATCCCTGGGTGCCTGTTGGACCCAACCAGCGCACCACACCTGGCCTTATACCTGTACTTCTAGGTCCAGGTACAGGGGAACGGCAAACTTCAAGCGGAGGCCGCACGGCCCAGCCGCGGGAGTGGAGGACGCGGTAGGTTCAAGGGGAAAATGTTCAAGAAAGCAAACGGACGAGTTCCTGACAGATAACCAGGTGGTGTTTACCTTATCATTCAGTTGGGACCAAGCTTCCTGTGACAAAGCAGTAAAGCAGGCAATGTCTGCAGCTCCTCAGCTGCTGCACTCAGGGGCAGTGCAGCGTTCCGAATTGAATCTGGCACTTCGGTAAACTACCACTGCACTTGCACATCCGCCTCAAGAGCCATGGCCCTCACGCACGCACAACGTACTGGCTGATATGCGTCTCTGTTACGTCACGGTGTGGCTGCTCCCTGCCGCAGGGTTCAACAGATGGCGTCCAGCAACAGCAATCCATCAGCCATACTGGTGCTGGATGGCGACAGCTCCAACGAGATGATGCACTTCAAGGCCCGACAAAGTGGATCAGATGTACTGCATGAGCTGCGAAAGCGCGGTCCTGGCTCATCACTCGTGACGGCAGATGGCTTTGCAATGTCGACTAACGACACGCTGGAGGCAGGCAGGGCAGCACAGGTTTTACAAGATAGGTGGGTTTGCTGGGTACAAAACGTCCAGTGGATTGTGGCAGCAAGCAATCCCAGCAGCGAGGACGCCATCAACAGGCAGGTGGGGCTACTCGGTCAGTGGCATTTGTCAGCACTGCAGCGGCAGAAGCTGCTGCCCATGCGACAGCATTTGGGTTGGGCTGGGTTGTGGACATCGCCCAGGCAGGGCACTGACGCAGGTGCATGGCATGCTGAGCCTCAACAAGAAATTCTACTGCAAAACCGCGTGTAACACATCTGCACAAACCCATCTGTATTGTAGAACCAATTATGCAGCACAGAGCCCTGCAGCACCAGCAGTGGTGGGGGCCAAACGTGCATCGTTTCAGAGGCGTTTTGCCAGGACTTGGCCCGTCAGTCCCCTTGGGAAGGCAGGTGTTTCCCATAATGAAGGCTCGTCCATTGCTGCTGGTGAAGCTGATTAAATCACCGGACAACATTGTGTGTCAGGCCCGATGGAATGTCAACCGTGTTATGGTGTCAACTCAACTGCAGCATAATTCGATGGAGGGGTCTGACTGGATCACACGTGTCAGTTGAGCCATATCGCCTTCTCAATGGTAACAGGACAGTGCATCGCGCGTGCACAAACGTGCGGTTTATTGGCCGAGGCCGACCCTGTAGTGCCGTGGCCACATAGAAAACAGCACCAACCGCCACCCCAGGGCGGTTTGCCGGCCGGCGACCGGGCCCTGGTTCGCTCACTCAGGTGCAGCCACACAACCCGATGTAGATCAAGTTTGATCATCTCATGTGTGCTCACCTATCATAGCCACTGCTCTGTCTCGTGTGTCGCGACGGTGAAGTCAGCAGTGCATCCCCGACTGTGCATGGGCGAAGCTGCCCTGCAGCGCTCGGTGTGCTCGCGGCTGAGTGCTTCCCGTCCACGTCACGCTCGCCCATCAGTCTTCAACATACAAAGGCCAATCGTCCTGCTGAGCTTGGTGTCATATCTTTGGCCTTTGGTGAAACACGCAACCAGCCCTCGTGTCATTTCCGGGCCGACATGAACCATAACCTCTTTCTGCCTGATGAGGATTTGGATGATTGGATTTCCGGCGGGGAGAAGCCCGGGAGTGAGTTCGGGCCTGCGCGACACTCACTTGGAGTGTGGGTGCGTGATTGTCTGCGTCGGCCTCTCATAGACCTGGAAAGCGCTTTAATATCAGTCTGACGGCCTGAAGGTTGCCTCGCTGCCGCCCACACCGCAGATGGGTGGCCGCAGCATATCGGCGCCGTTTCGATTTCGCCGCTGCCATGCGATCCATACTCGCCGGTTGACCCCGACCACAACAACTTGGGGGGTGCCGTAGCATTTGACAGGAGCCACTCGCTGGATTTAGGCGCATGGGCGCCTGCCAGCATGGACTGCGGTAGCCCACGGCTAGGTGAGACTGAGCTCAGATCATTCAGATCTTTGCTGGGCTCACCCTCACCTACTTGCCGCATGTTTGCGCCTTACCCCTGACGCCGTCTAGTGAGGCTCAACAGCATGATGGGGGCTCCAGCACGCTACCTACCTTCCAAGAACCCATTCAAGCATTTGTTGGTGCGTGCTCGCAGCCCACAGCAGTCCACAACCGCTCGCACTCGCTCATCATCCCCGCCGGCAGGCGGCTCCTTCTCGCGGCAATTATTTTCGGCGATGGCCGTCTCGCCGCGCGCCGACCCGGACTGGGGCAGCTGGCTGTGGCAGCCCAGCGTGCCCCCGCCGCGGCTGCGGCTTCAACCCTCAGGCTCGCTCAGCGCCAACCAGGGGACCGCCGCGGCTGCCGCCGCCGCCGCGGCCGTGGCGGAGGCGGCGGCCTCCGCGGGGGCGCAGGCTGCGGCGGCGGCAGAGGTGGCAACTTGGTCCCAGCCTGAGGGGCCCGGGAAGGGCGGCGGCGATGCCAATTTTACAGGCCAGGCGCCACCGGGCCGCCCGTTGTTTGAGGGCCAGCACACGCCGCCGCCTGGGCAGCTGCGGCGGCAGCTGCGGGACCAGCAGCAGCAGCAGCAGCAGCAGCAGCAGCAGCAGCAGCAGCAGCAGCAGCAGCAGCAGCACAAGGCGACGCAAGCAGCAGTGCGTCAGGAGGACGAGGTGCAGCAGCAGGCGCAGGTACCCTTGAAGCTCATGCCAGGCACCAAGCTTTCAATGGCGCCGCCATCCGCGCAGTCCCCCAAGCAGCCATCCAAGCTGTGCCTGCCGGCTGCTTCCCTGCAGCCCACGGCAGCGGCCTCCGCTCTGCAGCAGCAGCAACAGAAGAAGGCCTCGGTTTCGCAGCAGGCCCCGGCGCAGCCCCTGCTTCTGCGGCAAGAACCACCACAGCTGCAGGAAGTGCCCTACAAGCAAGAGCAGCAGCAGCAGCAGCAGCAGCAGCAGCAGCAGCAGCAGCAGCAGCAGCAGCAGCGTGGCCCGGCGCCCGGCACTCTGTTGTGGGGCAAGATGTCGCTCTTCCCGTGGTGGCCCTGCCTGGCGCTGGCATCGGACGACGCCGCGATCCCCGCGCCCGCGCGGGAGGCAGCTGGCGGCGGCTGCCCCGCGCTTCGCGTGCCGGTCAGGTTTTTCGGGCCTGGCGCAGAGGTGGGCGCCTCGGCCCCACGCGCCGGATGGACGCCAGGGCTCCTAGGACGCCCGCGTCATCCGGGCGGCGCCGCGTTTGCGGCGCCGCCACGAGCCTGCCTGCCTGCCTGACGCGGCACAACAAGGCGAGTATGCTGGCGCCCGACTTGAGTCCGACCTTGCACCTGTTGTATTCTTTTGCACCCGCCCCGCCCCGCAGGTGTCGTACCTGGAGCCGCGAAACCTGTCCCCGTGGGACCACCCGCAATCCGCGGAGCGCGCCGCCCGCTCCAAGGCCGCCGCCTTCGTGCGCGCCGTGGCCGAGGCTCGCGCGTACGCGGACAGGGACGTGCTGCCAGAGGCGTTTTCTGCGCCTGCAGACGAGCTGTATGGCGCGGCGCCGCCGCAGCAGCCGCAGCCGCCTCCGGCGTTGGCGGTGCAGCGGGAGGAGCAGCACTCGCCGTCAAGCCCGCGGCAGCAGCAGGGGCACGGGGAGCGGAAGGCGGGCCGCAGGCACAAGGTGGGCCGGCAGGGGAAGGGTGTCAATGTCTGCGCCGGTGATCCTTGGGTGCGCAAGAAGCATGAAGTTGCTCTCTGAGGTGCTATGATGATTATCAATGACAGGGCTGGCCAACGCACCCGGGCACCCTCCCGTTCAACCCCCTCTCGGCAGGCGGGCGCCGCGGCACGCGCGCCGATCAAGGGGGCGCCAGGGCCAAGCGCGGCGCGCGCCACGGCCACGGGCAGCCGCAGCCGCGGCGGCAAGCACGGCACCGGCGGTCCGCTCGCGACTCGGCGCGCGCAGGCCGCCGGCAAGCCGCCGCTCAAATCATAGTAGGCTTTGGCAGCACCGCGCCTGGAATATGTTCCGCCAGCCTCGAGCCCTTGCGCGTCGCTTGGCCGCGCTCTTCCACCATGCATCGCTGCTCACCACGACCCGCAAGGCCCGTTGATCTATAAACAGTAGGCGTGCAGCGGCGTCGCCAGTGCTGGTGTTGGCGGCCTGGCGTGCCATTTTCTTGCCCCCTTGCAGCTCTGCTTTTTGCCATGCGGTTGTTGCACTCCCACCGGCAGGCCGATGGGAAGGTCTCTACACACCCTTGCAAATAAATCACGCACGGCCTGCGCCTGTATGCTCGTTGGTGACAGGTTGTCTGGCAGGGGATAGGCATTCAAACAAGCGCCCTTGCCTTCAAGGCAGGCATCTGAAGAAGTTCTTCAGATGGTGATGACTGTGTTGTGTTCCGTAGTGGGGCCAACCTCAATGTGTATGTAACCCGATTGTTGGGACGTAATTCAGCTTGGTGGCGGGCGTGCGGAGTCACAGCAGAGCGGCGCTGCAGGTAGGGGCTGGGCAGAGGTTGGGCGGCCGTGAGGATAGCAGCGAAAGTGCTTTGAGGGGTCAGGGAACAAGGCGCGGTTTGGGGGGGTGCGCGCCCCGACCCATCCCCTCAATACGTCTTCGCCGCTGCCTTGCCCTCACAAGTATGCCCAGCAGCGTCCTCATCAACGTCATCTGTGCAAAATGTGAATAGGCTGAACCAACAGGGTGCGTCGCAGGGCGACTCGTCCGGGTAGTCAGCGGCGGTGCGTGTGGGCCATGCGCTTCTAATGTCGCGTCGCGTATCAGTGAGGTCTATATGACTACATCATGCATACGATATCCTGCGAGTTTAGGGATGCCTTTTCGCGCTCTATACGGTGATAAACGCAACTCCACGTTCTGGCAGGACGAGGAATCCTGTCTTGGCATCACAAGATTAATTTATCCACCACAACATGATCGAGTCAGATGACGCACATTTTGGAACACGTTCCATGTTCGGCTGCCAGGTCAGAACCGCCGAGTGGAAGCTAGGCCTCGCTATGCAGAACGCCTCCCTTATGCTGTGGCAGACAATCAAGACTAAGAACGCATGCATTGCGCACTGCAGGTCCTGTCTACTCGGCTGACAGGGGCATCGCCGGCCTTCACCAAAGGAGCCCGAACGCGCAAGGTCGGCGGCCCTGCTTTCGACCCCCTGCAGCTGGGGCATGCCTCGCCAGGACCAGTTTACAACGTCAGTCCAGGCCTGGGCAAGTCACAGGTGTGTACGGCTGTACCAGTCACCTTCAACGCTCGTCGCTGCTTTGTGCTGCAGCGTGATCTGGCCTCATAATGTCTGCGCATTGCAAGCCGCCTCTGTATAAAAGGCTGTGTGTCGGCAGCACGGCGTGACCAATCCCCAAATGCCGCCCGCGTGTGTCGGCTCTGTACGTGCACAGGTGCTGTCGCGGTGCGCCAGCGCGCCGGCAATTACTATCAGCTGCCGAGATGCCGAGCATAGGAGGCCTGCCAGTCCTGGCCCGTGTGACTACAAAACCGACTTTCCCACATTGGGCCAGCCGGTGAGCCGCTTCACACGGGGGAAGGTCCGGGGGGCGGTGAAAGTCCAGGGCAAACACCTTGCGTGTATCATCGCCAATGAGGGCGCCGCCGTTTGTGGCGCTGTCGCGCGCAGGCGCCCGTGGCGCGGATGGCGACGGCGGCGGTGGCTCGCATAGGGAGGGAGCGCCGCGCTGCCTGCGAGCCGACGCGGCGCCCCCGCAAGGGTCTGTCCTCTGACCCTGTGCTCGTAGCCCCCAGGTTGGCGCACGTTGTGTGATCGACAGAGATACGTTTGTACCGAAACGTGTATTGGATACCATCCAGAGCTGTGTAGCAGGGGATCATTTCACTGTCATTGCCCCGGGGTGTGCAACTGCGTCGGCGACCGCGCTGGATTACACAGGTGTCAGAGGAGTTTCACACGGCGGCCAGGGCGGGTGTGCATGCGTGCAAGCAGCACACGCAATCCCGCAACCTCTGCCCTCACCTTTGACACCGCAGGATGCCTGTCGGGCACCTCGGCGACGCGCCGAAGTGGACGTTTCATGGTGGTAAAGCGCGCTCGGCGATGCTGCTGGGCTGCGGGCTCGCGGCGTCTGACGCGCCGAGCTACGTGCGGGGCCCAGCGCCCGGCAGCTACGCGGGGGCGGAGCGCTCCGCGTTCGGAAATCAGGTGCGCGAGGGTGCAGGCGTCTGCGCCCCCACCCCTGACTGCCAGCGCATGGCCGGTGAAAGCTGCAGCAGCCCTTGCTTGCCGCGAACGTGCGTGACCTGCTCCTGCTTTAAATGGGGGTGAGCGGCCTCGTGCACGTCTGGCTCCGCAGGTCTCCAGTGAGGCGACGACGGCGCCCTCTGTGCGGCTGCCAAGGGCCAAAAGGGACGCGCACCTGAAGCAGGCACTCAGTAGGGCAGAAGAGCAGGTGGGTCCAAGCTGCTGCCAGCGGCTCATGTGCGCGTGTCGCCGCAGCGCTGGGGGCGGAAACTGTACTTGTGCAACTTGGGCTGGAATGCGCCGTAACACAAATAGTGAGGTCGCGGCCCAGCCGAGCGCCAATCGCAACATTTGCAGGCACTGCTGTGCACTGCCAGCCGCGGGCCTGCATTGGGCCAGGCGTCGAGCCTCGGGCGGCAGGTGCTCAGCGCGCACCGGAGCACGGGGGCGTGCTCCTTTGGCTCCAGCGGCCGTTTCAGCGACCGGGACGGCGCTGCGGCGCCGCGGCGCCAACGGGATGGCAGTACGGGTGGCCGGGCATCCCGGGGAGGCAGTGCCAGCGGCGGCGTGGCGCGGTCGGGCAGCGCAGGCGCGAGCGGAGGCAGCAGGGTTGGCGCGCTGTCTGTACAGCATGGGCATGACGGGGTGCCTGGACCAGGGACGTATTTGGTCTGAACAGAAGGCGATGCAGGCAGGTGTTCTAGTCAATGCAATGCTTGGGGCTCGTCAAGGAGTTGAATTTGCGCACAGGCGGCTCGATAGATCGTCAAAGCACGCACGATCGTCGTAGTGACAGAAGTCAAGATCACTGAGTGAGGCAGTGAGGGCATTGCGCCACGACAGTGACCTAGAGCTGAAGAAAATATCACAAGTGCCTGTATACATCAAGGGCGTGTGTGGCTCGCGCTCCCGGGACGCTGTCGATGCTGCGTAGGTTGAGCGAGTAGCTTGGCAGACGGGCCCTCCGAACGATCAGGTGAAGCCCAATTCACGTTGTACAGCGCGTCCGTTGTCCCTAACCATCACCCTTCATAGCCCATTGTGCCAGCGCGCTGCGATGGCACTGCACATGCGCCTAGGAGGGCAGCAGAGGCTGGCTGGGGCCCGCAGCAGTGCTCCATGTGTCCGTTCGGCACCTAGGATTGCCACTCAGATGCGGGCCCTCGGGGAGATGGGGCAGACCGGAAAGGCGGACCTGCAAGAGCGGGGCAAGGCGTGGGTGGAGTCGATGCTGGCGCGGTTCGGCCCCGCAACGGACAGGGCGCAGAACATCACCACTCTGGAGTTTGAGAAGCCGCTGCTAGAGCTCGACAAGCGCATCAAGGAGGTCAGCCATCCACCGCCCCCTGATGGGCTTTGACGCGAGCGTTATATTATATCCCGTACTCAGCCCGCTCGTTGCGCTCCACAGGTTAGGAAGGTTGCAGAGGAGAACGGTGTGGATGTGAGCCAGTCTATCGCTGAGCTCGAGACGCGAGCGCGCCAGGTGCGCGACGGGGCGCCGCTGCTCGCAGCGTGCACACACCCGGTGGTGACGGCGCATCCACTCCGGGGCAGCTGCGCCCTCGCGACTTCGATCGCTCAAAACCCGTGCTAATCAGCGGGGTCACATGTGCATACTCGCCCCACCGAGCCCCTCAGCTACCCGGCAGTCGCGTCGGCCCTCTCCACCTCCCTCTCCGCCCCAACCCCCACCC